CTGCGCAACGCCCGACAGCGAGAGAGATATACGTGGACGGAGAGCTAGGATTGATATAGGTACGCGAGAGAGGCCAGTGATAACCCGCGGGTCGCGCACCTCTCCCACTCTGATGCAATCCGCGCATATACAGAGGGCGGCGACGGCGTAAGCAACCTCGGCCTCATAAAAAAATGGTCGCGCGTATGCGGAACGGAAGAAACTGAAAATATTCTTGGGAGAAACGCGGACTAGCGCGGCGCGACGCGACGAGAAAGGGAAGGGAAAAAAAGCCGTCGCGGACTTTTGCGCGTCGCGAAACCGGCGCGCGCTTTCACGCGACGAACAAGGAATATGCCGTCGATCGCACGACGTCCGTAAATTTCGCGGTATATTACGTCAGCTATTCGCCGGACCCAGAGATTTCGTGTTTCGAGGAGTCATCCGGAGCTGGTTCTTTCGGGTTTGAAATCGGATCGATCGCCTCTCTCGATCGATCGCCCGAAAAGCGTCGATCAATATCGCGAATCGTTCTTATTGACGTCATCTAATTTACGCGGCGAGAATATATTAAACGATTCGGCGAAACAATTACGTCCGCGTTTCGCGGTCTACTTCAATATTGTTCCCCTTAGTTAGCAAAGTGTAATAAGATGGCGCGAAAAAAGCGAGAATAACGCAATAAACGATCTCATCGGTATCTTGCGTAGGTGCGAATGGTAGTCCGTGCCATCCAATTTCGTACGATACGTCGCGCGACTTGTAATCCTCTTTCCCCGGTTGACGAACACGTCGCACTCCCTCACTCTGTCCTCCCCCTTTGCGACACCATCATCTCTCGCACGCAATCGAGAAGCTGAAACGCGCACGCGGTTCCCCAACTTATCATCTACTTTGAAAATCCCCGAGAAGGAAATGGAGAAACAGAAAGAGAGAGAGAGGAAGATCCGATAACCTCTCCGGCGACCTAAACCTAACCCATTAAGGAGAAGACCTCTCCTCTTTCTCTCTCTCTCATATACATATGCCGGGGTTCGTGCGCGTCGGACGAAGCGGCTATCTTGCGCTTCGTGGCCACCTATATAATTGACGTCAACGTACACTGCTGGCCTTTCATAAAAACACCTCCCTGCATCCGTTCTACGCCGCTTGAAGATTTCATTCCTCCGTGCTCTCGTCCCGTCACTCGGACCCTCTTTCCCTCGCTTTCTCTTCTTCTTCGTCCTTCTCCTACTCTCTCTTCGCCAACCCCTCTGTATGCGTTTCATTCGATCTCCTCTCCTTCGTCAAGCAAGTCATCCGTTTCTGTGGTGGAAACGCACATTGCCACCTCTCGGCGTTCATCGCGCGGTTCTTTCTCTTCTGACGGCCCCTGCCTCTCTTTCTCCTCTCTCTCTCTTTCCTCTTTCTTCTTGTTTCCACGAATTATTAATTCCTCTCTCGTGAGCTTACTTACTCACACTTGGTCGTTTCGTCCCGACGCATCCGGACGTTCCCTTTTCTTGCTTCTGACATTTCTCCCTCGTGTCAACCCGTTTTTTTCCTCATCCTCCTCAATTCGTTTTGTTCCTTCCTCTTCTCTCGTCGGCCGGGAACGACGTTTTCTGAATCTCGCTCGAGTAAACGCGGACGTTATTGTTATCGTTCGTCGATACGTCGCCAGTAAGGGGCCGCAGGGTGGGGTACAAGCGCACAAGTTTAAGAAGACCGAGAGAAGAAGAAGCAGAAGAGGAAATCCAAGCGAACAAACTGCCGGCGCGCTTTGTTCCGCTCGATTGCTCATAGCGGTGAATACGATCGTGTTCGATGATCGAGATTGTGTCGATAACGAGAGCGGATAGACTATATAATCGGGGCTCAATTAGCTCGTGTCTCGGAACGATCCCCGGGGTTGATGATCGATAATTCGTAAGGCGATCGATAGTGTCCGTGCTGCTTCAGTGATTAGTCACGTGCTTGCGAGACATCGCTTCGTTTATTCTCGGCCAAATATGAGGAAAAAGAATCTACCGGTCGTTCACAAACTGGTTCGCGATCATGATCAAATTCAGCAGGTATTATAGCGGATGTCATAGATCGAGCTATTCTAAGCGTCATCGAACATAATTGCGACATTGAAGCAAAAAGAAGTTGCTTTTTATATCTTATAGGTTCATAAATCTTAAATTCTTTTTTATTATGTCTATAAGTTATTTATAAGCATCGTATCGGTGTTAGAAGAGCGGAGTGTATAATCAAACCTAATTGAATTAATCTGAAAAATATGTAGGATTGCACCATTTAACCACGGTATTAAAAGATTACGATAGCTTATAGTCGCACTAATAATAAATATATTTTCGATCGGTGTTAGCAAAGTTTAAAGTTAAATCAAGAACAAAAATAATCATTTGTTTGGATATAGAATCTTGCGAATTCAAAATCAATAATCTTAAGCATTCAGTACAAAACTATAATTTTCAAATATGTCAAGACTAAAGTTTCGAGGAAAGATCGATTTTTAAAAAGAGAATTTATAAGTTGAAAAAAAAAATATATATATATATATATATATATATATATATATATATATATATGTGTGTGTGTGTGTGTATGTATGTTTGCGTACATATAAATTATTTTTAAAAATACACACACGTACATACATATATATTTCACATATGCATAAATTAAATTAGAAAAGATATGATAGTATATAAGATTATAATGACATGTTTTATTGCAATAATGTGTTAATATTTGTTTATTATAGCAAACGGACGTTCGATCAAGTTTGGACCATTTCTCGAGCACGCCGATTAAATCACTTCCGGGTAAAAGGGAGGATACCCCTCCGACATCGCTAACGTCCCTGGCACCTTTAACCAGTTTGGCGAACTTACCGAACAGCACCCTTTCCTCTACGCCGCTGTCGCTCGCATCAGCGTCAAAGTTGCTCACGCCAACGGACAACAAGAGTCTCATGAGGTCAGTACGATGAACTAGTTACGAGGCAAGGCGAATGAAATCCGTGTTTTCTTACTAGCGGCGTAGTAGAATCGAACTCTTATCTATTTTTTTTTTAATTGGCTTGCCTACCAGCATCAAGGCCGATTCGATATAAAGCGCAAAAATAAACGTTTCTCTCGAGTCAAAAATTCTATTCGCGTCAATTTATATTATTGAACCTCGTTAAAAAAAAAAAAAATAAGAATAAAAATGAAAGAAGACTATCGTTCTTTCGCTCAGCTTGATTACGATTAGCTCTCTTACTCTCTGAATTACCGTAACCGATTATCGCAATCGGACGCTAAGATTTCCGTCGCCGAGTTCTAGATAAGACTTCGCCTTCGGTCAAAGATCATGGCACAAAAATTCACCGGACGCCTCGTTAAATGGGTGCACGTCCTTAACGGGACGTGAAGCGCTAATCAGCGGCGGCCTTTATCGCTAACGCGCATCTCATTCTCATTACGTTTTTCAGCCAGGCGACGATAGTCAGTTCGTCGACGGTGAATGGTGTCGCCAGTGGCGGTGCACCGACAGCGATGTACAGACCTAACTTCAGCCAGGCGTTCCAACGTGCCGGGCCTACAACGGTACCGCCGACCGGTACCCTCTCATCTGGACTGTACCCGACCCAAAGTTTCTCGGGCCTACTGAGCAACGGTACACAAAGTAATTCGGTTATTGGTGTCTTTAAAAAAAATGCTTTTGCACGCTGTTTATTAACATCCTTAGAAGTTTGCACGCTTTTGCAAGCTGTTATTTTGAGCTGTCTCTTTCCTCGGTTTAATGTCGATAAATATGAGTTTTTATATTTAGATATTAAATTTTTGAAGTTCTTCTTTCATACTTAATCGAAAATTAATTACATAGATTTAATTAAAAATAATTCTTCGCTCGTCATCTTTGATTTTTGAGATAGTGTTTACTATAATAATATAAGAGTTTTAACAAGGCTCTGTAATATAAATATAAATTTAACGTATAAGACGGGCAACAAGAGCCAAATCGCGGATGACAATGCGTTATCCTAACGAAACTAAATAATTTTTCGTTAGAAATTAAATACCGGTGCACAAGGTCTCGGGTTCGATTCCCGATTCAGTGATTTTCGGATCTATATTTTTCTCTTGCATTCATTTATTTATTTTCCGTAGGGGGGTTAAAGGGGTATTGAAATTAAATCTCAAAATATGAGATTATTTCATATTTAAAATCTTGGCCGTGTCCAAGTAAAAAATTTGGTGCCTTGTGCACCGGTATTTATTTCTAACGAAAAATTATTTAGTTTCGTTAGGATAACGCATTGTCATCCGCGATTTGGCTCTTGTTGGTGTGTGTGAAGTTGGCGTATCATTTTGCGGAAACTCATTATATTTTGAGAGTTCTGACTTCCTTTTTAATAGTTCTAGAGTTCCTGATAGGTAAAACACATAGTTCTGCTCGTTAAAGCCAAAAAATTGCTTAGTGCAAAGTGAGACGCCAACTTCACGCAGCGTCTCACTTTGTCCTACGACATTTTCCGTATCAGAAATGATCAGAAATGAAAAGATCTATAGTTCTACATGAGTTCTAAGAAGAGTTCTACCTTCTAAAAGCAGAAAATATTAATTAAACCAAAATTAAGATGATCGGATATCTGTATCTATAGATGTCGAAGGGAGACGCCAGTCAATTTTTAACAGTTCTGCTTATTATAAAGTAGTTCTCGTATAGTTCTGGGTATGTACGATGAATTTCCAAAGAGTTCTGATAATTAAAACTCTAACAAATTATTTTAATTAATTATTTCACCCGAAAAACGTCTATTTTCGACACTAAAGGTGAGACGCCAGTTGATTTTCGACAGTTCTGATTATTATAAAGTAGTTCTCGTATAGTATTTGTCATGTACAATGAGTTTCCAAAGAGTTCTGATAATTGAAACTCTTACAAATTATTTTAATTAATTATTTTACCCGAAAAACGCCTATTTTCGACACTAAAGGTGAGACGCCAGTCGATTTTCGAGAGTTCTGTTTTTTCTAAAACAGTTCTCGTATAGTATTAGACATGTACAATGAGTTTCCAAAGAGTTCTGATAATTAAAACTCTTACAAATTATTTTAATTAATTATTTTACCCGAAAAACGCCTATTTTCGACACTAAAGGTGAGACGCCAGTCGATTTTCGAGAGTTCTGTTTTTTCTAAAACAGTTCTCGTATAGTATTTGTCATGTACAATGAGTTTCCAAAGAGTTCTGATAATTAAAACTCTTACAAATTATTTTAATTAATTATTTTACCCGAAAAACGCCTATTTTTCACTCTAAAGGTGAGACGCCAGTCGATTTTCGAGAGTTCTGTTTTTTCTAAAACAGTTCTCGTATAGTATTTGTCATGTACAATGAGTTTCCAAAGAGTTCTGATAATTAAAACTCTTACAAATTATTTTAATTAATTATTTTACCCGAAAAACGCCTATTTTCCACTCTAAAGGTGAGACGCCAGTCGATTTTCGAGAGTTCTGTTTTTTCTAAAACAGTTCTCGTATAGTATTTGTCATGTACAATGAGTTTCCAAAGAGTTCTGATAATTGAAACTCTTACAAATTATTTTAATTAATTATTTTACCCGAAAAACGCCTATTTTCCACTCTAAAGGTGAGACGCCAGTCGATTTTCGAGAGTTCTGTTTTTTCTAAAACAGTTCTCGTATAGTATTTGTCATGTACAATGAGTTTCCAAAGAGTTCTGATAATTGAAACTCTTACAAATTATTTTAATTAATTATTTTACCCAAAAAACGTCTAATTTCGACTGTAAAGGTGAGACGCGTCTCACCTTTAGAATCGAAAATAGGCGTTTTTCGAGTAAAATAATTAATTAAAATAATTTGTAAGAGTTTCAATTCTCAGAACTCTTTGGAAACTCATTGTACATGACAAATACTATACGAGAACTGTTTTAGAAAAAACAGAACTCTCGAAAATCGACTGGCGTCTCACCTTTAGTGTCGAAAATAGACGTTTTTCGGGTGAAATAATTAATTAAAATAATTTGTAAGAGTTTTAATTATCAGAACTCTTTGGAAACTCATTGTACATGACAAATACTATACGAGAACTACTTTATAATAATCAGAACTGTCGAAAATCAACTGGCGTCTCACCTTTACAGTCGAAATTAGACGTTTTTCGGGTAAAATAATTAATTAAAATAATTTGTAAGTGTTTTAATTATCAGAACTCTTTGGAAACTCAATATACATGTCTAATACTATACGAGAACTGTTTTAGAAAAAACAGAACTTTCGAAAATCGACTGGCGTCTCACCTTTAATGTCGAAAATAGACGTTTTTCGGGTAAAATAATTAATTAAAATAATTTGTAAGAGTTTCAATTATCAGAACTTTTTGGAAACTCATTGTACATGACAAATACTATACGAGAACTGTTTTAGAAAAAACAAAACTCTCGAAAATCGACTGGCGTCTCACCTTTAGAGTGGAAAATAGACGTTTTTCGGGTAAAATAATTAATTAAAATAATTTGTAAGAGTTTCAATTATCAGAACTCTTTGGAAACTCATTGTACATGACAAATACTATACGAGAACTACTTTATAATAATCAGAACTGTCGAAAATCGACTGGCGTCTCACCTTTAGAGTGGAAAATAGGCGTTTTTCGGGTAAAATAATTAATTAAAATAATTTGTAAGAGTTTTAATTATCAGAACTCTTTGGAAACTCATTGTACATGACAAATACTATACGAGAACTGCTTTAGAAAAAACAGAACTCTCGAAAATCGACTGGCGTCTCACCTTTAGAGTGAAAAATAGGCGTTTTTCGGGTAAAATAATTAATTAAAATAATTTGTAAGAGTTTTAATTATCAGAACTCTTTGGAAACTCATTGTACATGACAAATACTATACGAGAACTGTTTTAGAAAAAACAGAACTCTCGAAAATCGACTGGCGTCTCACCTTTAGAGTGGAAAATAGGCGTTTTTCGGGTAAAATAATTAATTAAAATAATTTGTAAGAGTTTCAATTATCAGAACTCTTTGGAAACTCATTGTACATGACAAATACTATACGAGAACTACTTTATAATAATCAGAACTGTCGAAAATCGACTGGCGTCTCACCTTTACAGTCGAAATTAGACGTTTTTCGGGTAAAATAATTAATTAAAATAATTTGTCTTTTAATTATCAGAACTCTTTGGAAACTCAATATACATGTCTAATACTATACGAGAACTGTTTTAGAAAAAACAGAACTCTCGAAAATCGACTGGCGTCTCACCTTTAGTGTCGAAAATAGACGTTTTTCGGGTAAAATAATTAATTAAAATAATTTGTAAGAGTTTCAATTATCAGAACTCTTTGGAAACTCATTGTATATGACAAATACTATACGAGAACTGCTTTAGAAAAAACAGAACTCTCGAAAATCGACTGGCGTCTCACCTTTAGAGTGAAAAATAGGCGTTTTTCGGGTAAAATAATTAATTAAAATAATTTGTAAGAGTTTTAATTATCAGAACTCTTTGGAAACTCATTGTACATGACAAATACTATACGAGAACTGTTTTAGAAAAAACAGAACTCTCGAAAATCGACTGGCGTCTCACCTTTAGAGTGGAAAATAGGCGTTTTTCGGGTAAAATAATTAATTAAAATAATTTGTAAGAGTTTTAATTATCAGAACTCTTTGGAAACTCATTGTACATGTCTAATACTATACGAGAACTGTTTTAGAAAAAACAGAACTCTCGAAAATCGACTGGCGTCTCACCTTTAGTGTCGAAAATAGGCGTTTTTCGGGTAAAATAATTAATTAAAATAATTTGTAAGAGTTTCAATTATCAGAACTCTTTGGAAACTCATTGTACATGACAAATACTATACGAGAACTACTTTATAATAATCAGAACTGTCGAAAATCAACTGGCGTCTCACCTTTACAGTCGAAATTAGACGTTTTTCGGGTAAAATAATTAATTAAAATAATTTGTAAGTGTTTTAATTATCAGAACTCTTTGGAAACTCAATATACATGTCTAATACTATACGAGAACTGTTTTAGAAAAAACAGAACTCTCGAAAATCGACTGGCGTCTCACCTTTAGTGTCGAAAATAGACGTTTTTCGGGTGAAATAATTAATTAAAATAATTTGTTAGAGTTTTAATTATCAGAACTCTTTGGAAATTCATCGTACATACCCAGAACTATACGAGAACTACTTTATAATAAGCAGAACTGTTAAAAATTGACTGGCGTCTCCCTTCGACATCTATAGATACAGATATCCGATCATCTTAATTTTGGTTTAATTAATATTTTCTGCTTTTAGAAGGTAGAACTCTTCTTAGAACTCATGTAGAACTATAGATCTTTTCATTTCTGATCATTTCTGATACGGAAAATGTCGTAGGACAAAGTGAGACGCTGCGTGAAGTTGGCGTCTCACTTTGCACTAAGCAATTTTTTGGCTTTAACGAGCAGAACTATGTGTTTTACCTATCAGGAACTCTAGAACTATTAAAAAGGAAGTCAGAACTCTCAAAATATAATGAGTTTCCGCAAAATGATACGCCAACTTCACACACACCTCTTGTTGCCCGTCTTATACGTTAAATTTATACTATAATAATGTTCAAAAATTCAATAAGAGATACGATTGAACATATATTTTTTAACATAGTATATGTATATGCATGCTTCGATGAATCACGATGTTTATATAATTTACGATCGATTTTTAAATCCGTTATCTTTGCAGGACCGACGGATCTTAGCATGAAGAACACGAAGCCACTGTTAAGTCACAAGTTGAACGCGACGGAAATGACCGCGGTGAGGCAACTAATAACTGGATATCGGGAATCCGCCGCCTTTTTGCTCAGATCTGCCGATGAATTGGAACAACTATTGCTCCAGCAACCATAGAGCTATCTTTATATGACCAGCGCTCAACCGCTTGGCTCATAATCACAATAATCGAGAAAGCGATGCGAGTATACCATACTATGAGCACTACGAGCTCTATTTGATCATCGAGAGTAACGTTGAAGTCAGCGTAGATTCATTGATAGTACTTCAAGGTCGTTTGTACTCTGTCGGCAATGTGACTTTCAATATAAATTTACCCTCTGCTGCAAAGGTCTCTGGACCACTTGCGCTAAAAGGATCGATTCAATCTGACAAGACGAGAGTGCAAAATCTTATTTACATGAGGAACTAATTCGAGAATAATGTATCAGAAATTAATCGGAGTTACTTCATAATAAACAGAAAAGATTTCTTTGACAAAAAGATAGAAATCGAGTTTGAGAAATGGCGACGCAAGGCTCATATTCCTCTCTAAATACATCCTGTTCGAATAGTTTCCTTAACTCTAGAATTAGAAATGTGTCGTGGCAACGCGCGTAATAAAATATTAATTTTTTATTCATTTTCTATTTTTCTTAAAAATAAAGTTCTCTCTAAAAAGAAGCGACGCTTATGCGAAACAGTCATAGTTTATTAAAAGTGGCAAATATAAAATTATATACACATACAATATGTATATGTATACTTATATTTTTGGTACTTTTAGAATCAAACTATGATAATTCGCATAAAGATTGCTCTTTTTCAACAGTGGAAATCTTTCATCGCAATTTCAATCTTGATTTTTGTTGTATATTTGCATTAAAAAAATCTTTTCATGTTTATTACGAAGTAACTCCAAAGAGTAAAAGAATGAAATAAATTTCTCTAACTCTATTGTATATGTACATATATAAAATAAAAAATAGAGTACTTATAAAAACTATTTTTTATTTTATATTTTATTTTATATATATATATATCATATATATAAAATAAAACGTATAATTTTTTCTAGGGAGAACTCTATTTTTCTCTCTGAGAAAAAAATAAAAGGACAAAAAAAATGCATATTTCATTACGTGTGTCGCCACAACACATTTCTAATTTTAGACTTAGGGAAATTATTCGAACAGGGTGTACATAAAAAGGATGAAATATTTACTTAATTATTGATAAGCTTAAAGGATGACTGTAATGAATTAAGAGTAAGGAAGATATTGAGAAAGCTTGCGGATGACAAGCCATTTGAAAGCATGTACTATTTCCTAACAAAAATGGACGAAGCGTCCCAGAACATTTTCCTCTTTAAAGTCAGGTGACGTGCTTGCAGTTTTTCCTATTCAGATTCGTAAGCTTCGAAAAAGAGTTCGTGAGCTCTATAATTCTACTACAAGTATATTCACCGTTTCGATGATGGCTAATGAAAAAGCTGTCGCGTGTTCTTATAAGAAGCTAATTTCGCTAATCTATTTGTTATCGTTATGTACATATGACGTAAATTATATATGATACAAATAGTTACTCTCACGCGAAAGAACGTCGATACTCCTCAAGAGAGCGCGATTAATTCGCGCGAGTGAATTGCACTATTCACTTCGAAATTGGCGAGTACATAGAATTTTCAGAAATCGATTCAGAAAAAAATATAAAATGACGTGAGAGAAAGAGAGATATGTATTTTAAAGAGATTATCATAAATTTTCGCCATTTTTGAAGTAAATAGATCAAGAAGATTTTACGAGAGTCATAACATACGTGTACATACATAAAAAGAAATGCGTTCATGCATTGATACACGTGTATATAATAAGTAGATTACAAGACAAGATGAATTTTTTATTGGCGACGCGTCAGAGGCTTCGTCAAAGAAAATAAATTAGTTGATTAATTGATTAACGATAATTGTACAATGTGGTCGTAATATAGTCAGACCAGAGACGAAGGAGCGTAGTGATCGAGAATATAATTTCGGGACCATCTTGTCACGATCGGACAATACGTTATAATCGTATTCGTGGTCTCCGGACGCATCACTGTGTTACCAAAGAACATTATAATTATTATCGTTAACGTACCTATAATGTATCTGTAATGTAAGGCGTTCTTCTTCTTTCGTGTTCTTTTTTAAGCAATATTTTTTTTAAAGAAAAGTATAAAAAATTATTTTCTTAGCTGACTAAAATAATTTGAAGATAAATGTGACATCCGTTTGTGGACGTGATAACTGTATATGTCATCTCTGATTATGAATTTATCTATTATTTTTCTTATTATCATTAACATTGTTACACTGCTATGATAATTATCGATATTATATTTTTATTATTATCGTCATTATACCGTCATCTAACATGATTATCATCATCACGATATTGATTGCAAATCTCAAAGAGCAAGAAGATAAAGCGAGATATTTCTACGGATATTTCGCTCTGTCTTTCAATAGTTTCAATGTCATTTTCCACAGAAAAATTTCCGCTTGTTAAGTCTACACTTTGTCATTGTTTTGTAAATAGTTTATATACATTGTCGGAGTACATATACAGATTATAGATATTAAGTTGTTTAAGAAACTAGGCGTAAGAAAAGAATATATATAAATATAAATATATATATTTATAAACATATGTATTTATATTTACATACATATATATATATATATGTAAATGTAAAATATCTTTATGCGAATGAGATTTTGCTAATTGCTATCACCGTTGAACTTCAAATGCATTCCAATGGGAGCAAAGCAAATAGAAAAGTATATGGAGAGAATACTGAAAAAAGATATGAAGTTAGACAGAGAAAGAGAGAGAATGTTATTAGAAAGAAAAAAACATGAGAAGAGAGAGAGAGAGAGAGAGAGAGAGAGAGAGAGAGAGAGAAGTGAGGGAAATGTACGTGTATTTGTGTGAATGGCATATATGCACGATCGCTGAACGTGCGCTCATCGAAGGTTCTATAGGAATCACGACTTTAATTGAGAAAAAGCGAGAAAAAGTACTTCCTTTTGCCTTTTGCGTTTTGCGAGCAGATCACCACGGCGAAAAGCGCCCGCCGTCGCGCGATTAAACTCTAATAATAATGTTTGCGGCACATTTGATGAGAGACATAACCGAATAAAGCGTTTCAATTGGAATTAGTTTTTACTCTTCAATCACTTCAAACTCGAATGATACTTGCGATGACGATGCAAGCGCATCGCGTCGAATACAATTTTTCGTCCATATACCGTAGTAGTCGGACATCTCTCTAATCGACACAGTGCAATAGTCTATAGCGATACCGTGTATTAACAGTCGTCGTCACGATCATGCTTTTATCATGCACGACGTAAATAGTCTCACAGCTCAACCATCCCCTTCCTTTAACGCATTTCCGTATTTATCTTATTAATTTCAAGCAGGCATCATACTTCTTTACGAATATAAGCTATCAACAGTTCATATCTTACCGCTAGCATTGTACATTTATATGTAATCCACCTCTCAGACCTTTATAGCTACATAATCGCGAGGACCGAGCTCCGTTTTGCGAACTACATATTTCTCCCTTCCCCCGCAAATCCGACTAGCAATAATGTTCACTGCGCGCTCTGCTAATAATTGATACTTATATAATTATGCTTCGACGAATCTGTCATTCATAAAATTCGTAAAGCAATGAATTGAAAAGAATATTATATTGAATGTTATTCTCGACTGAAAAATGAGAATCGAATTTGATCATGTTCATCGATAACGTTGCTCGTTTTGAGGAAAATCCGGATCCACGACACATCCGAAATACGGAGTAAAAGGAAAAGGGAAAGACGAAGGAGATAGAAAAGGACATTATAGATACCGACGAAACTTACTCTGTTCTTTTATCCTATGTTCGATAAAAAAAAAAGTGTCCGTCGTGTGTACCTTAATTCGCCTACGCGGAAGTGCAGTTCATATATAGTCGCGAATCGGTGTATATTGATTAAAGAAAAAAAATATGTATTTGTTCCTAAAGAAATGATAAGAGTAGTATAATATAATATAGGTACTATAAAAAAATATTAATATTAATAATACCGATAATTTGATGGTACTTTTCTTATAAGTAACATTATACATTATTACGATTATTGTAGAGTTGGTACGGTTCTTGAGGATGCCTTGCCTGTAAATGTAACTCACGTTAAATGAAAAAAAAATCTTATTACCTTGTAAATGTTTTACCAAATATAATCGATTATTCAACTTATACTTTGATCCTGGTTCTTTTAATTGTTCAGCGTTCCTATCTGCGTCAACGTTTCGACAAGATTTATGATTCGATATAAATTATTTTTCTTTCTTTTTCTTCTTTTTTTTTTTTTTTTTGTCATCCGTTGGTCTTTTCGCTTGACTAACGTCGGCGAAAAAATCTCGTAAGGCCGCGGTCTGTACACGGTCATAAATATCTCGAACGCATGCATAATCGCGGCGCCTTTAAATGCGACGAGCAATCGACCCGATAATGTATTATGTGCATACGTTTGAACGAAATGGAAAGCAATGGAAAGTTGAATAAGTACCGGTGCGCCGCAAGATCACGATCTTGGCCGGATTGTGAAACTCTACCTACTCGCAACAATGTGGTAAAAGTTAAAGTTTATTATGCCCATTCATTTGCATTTTTCAGAAATTTTTATTGTTTATTTTATACGCACCAAATAAGAAATTTGCATCATATTGCCGATATTAATAATCTAATATTAATAATCTAAAACTTAATTATTAAATTTTATTGTCGAATATATATTTTTATTGCAATTTCTTCGTTTACGTAAAGAATATTACTGAAAAGTATAAGCAGTAAACAAAGTATATAATATCATTTAATTAGAATCGCTCAGCATATTTCAGCATATGGATCTGAGAAATGATATCAATCTGCGATATATAGTCTTATACAACACACAATGAAAAGTCAAACGAATAGTCGGCGCGATCTTTGATGCGAAAAGATTGCGAAATGGCAATTCCCTCAACAGAGCAACTTAAATCGCATTTGGCAGGCCGCATCGTTACGAATGTTTCGCTCCATTGATTCTTTGGCCAACAATTGTTCCTCTGATATTTTTAAATTCATTGACATTAAAATAAAAAATAAAATATTTGAAATAATCTCTATATAGAAGAATATAATAAAATAATAAACGCATTTTTTAAAATTATCGCGATGTTTCTAGCAATGATTAATAGTGTAAAATTTATTTAATCTAACATCTAATATTGGAATATGAAATTAATATAAATATATTTTTTGTTAATTTTTACTTCTTCAAAGACAATGACAAAATCTGTATAAAATGCATCGAGCACAGAAATTTATTGTTCACATTTGTGCGATTTCGATATGCGGTCTTGTGAGACATGTCGGATCGTGTAATGGACGAGTGTAATCATTTACCATCATTTTCGAAAAATAGCTTTTGACCAAGAGTTTATTCTAGCAGACGAGCGACGCAAAATCTCACGTAAAGTGCGTGCGTACACGCACAATCGATCCGTGTGTTTCGAGATATCAGAACGATGAGTTTCGCCTCTTCGTCAAGAATCGTAATGCCGTTTTCTGCGCTAAGTTTTACGGAGTAAATTTTATCGAGTATCGGTTACCAGCAA